CCCATTACTTTTACGCAAGCTCCAATATTCATTTGGAGTATTGGGTGTTGTTCATCAATGGATTGAGTCATAATTCCAATTCTTTTTGCTCTTCATTGGTCTCCGGTTTATGAAAGAGTTATTTTCAATATATGTTTATCCGTTTTTAAACGTATTAAGGAAATTGCCCCTAAATAATTAACTAACAGATTCATTCCTAAAACATTGCCTCTGCTGAGTCAAGCATTGCGCTCTAACAATTCAGGTTTACTGTTTGTACCTGACACAAACTTGGCTTTTGGTCGAAAGAATTTTTCCGTAATGAGTCCTGCTGTCTGTAATGGTTTGACTAAAGACCTTTGTGATCCTGCATTTTCTGTTACTCAGTTCTGTAAAAGGTTGAAACCCCATCTTTTTTGTCCAAGCTTGCCCGTGCTAATGTTTCCATTCAATGCACTGCTTTAATAAAATGATACGCAATGTACCGCAATAATTGTTAGCGCCTCTGAGATCTTTTTCAAGGGCGCTCACAAACACACCAATAATAATAATAATAAATATTGGATTGGTGCCGAATACAGAAAATCGATCTAAAACTTATTATATTTTAACTATCAGGGAAAACGGCGATATAATTGATCAAGGTATGTAATTGACTGCGTTTTCTTTAATGCTCTTTTCATAAACAAGAGTAATTCTAGCTAATTTGAATTCTTCTTGGAAAGTTGCAGCTTTCTAAATAGATATTGAGAATATACGAGTCAACAGTAATGTAATCTCATCAACAAATAACTCAACATGTTGAAGCCACCATCTAAAATTGTTTTCTTCAGTACTTACATCATCATGATAGCAGAAACTTATAAAGAAGTTATAAAAAGAACTAACACTACTCTTGCTAAAAATTGTATGAGAAAGTTTTTATTGAAGTTATTTTGTAGCCAATTTATTTTTTTTATTTATTTAGATTTGTATTCATTGTGTCTATATATGTGCTTGTATATGTTGATGCATGCATCTTTACACTTGTTCTGTTGATTGTGTTTCTTGAACGTTTGCATAATAAACATTGTTTTATTTATATATCTTACTTTCCTAATTTCATTGTATCATTAATTAACATACATTTTTTTCTTGGAAAAAGGTTCGCCCGTGTTTTTCAATAAATGAATAAATAAATATTATAATCATTATTATATATCAAATTTTGAATATATTTTTTTCTTTAACAAAGATTTAAAAATAAAAATCTTTTTTGAATTAAGAGTTAACATCAGTCCTGGTAGAACTGCCGCTCTCCACATCTTGTGGTTCGAAGATTTTAAAAATGTTTTAAAACTAACATTAACATCATTTTCGGTGACAATTGGATCCCAGCTAACCTCAAATAAATTTTTCTTTTTTTTAAAGTATTATATTTGACTATTTTTTGTAAAAATGTTGAATTTTTAGGTACACTGCCGGACCTTTTTTATTGAAAAAAAAATTGGATGGCGGTCAGAAAAATCAGAAATCATAACAGCACCCTGATCAAGTTGAAAACTGTTTGGTGAGATATCATCAGTTTTTGTCGAAGAGTGTGTAGTTAATCGTGTAATAAAATTAATCAAATATCTGAACTTGTAATGAAAAAATCAGGTTTTGAATTAATATTTAAAATAAGCATTAAAATCGCCAATTATGTATGCAGTCAAATTTGAATATTATAGCAAGCTTTTAAATATTCATCAATATCAGTACTGGGAGGTCTTGAAGCATTGTGTAATTATTATACTTTTTAAGTGTATTTTAAAAAAGAAAACAATTTCATCAATTTAATTTAAAAGTTTTTGAAGTACATTTATTTAATAGTAGTATTTAATTGAAACTGGGAAGCTAAACATGGAAAAATATTTTGGAGTTGAAGTTAAGGGGAGTCTGAAATTTTTTCCCGGAGCCAGAGTCGGAAAATTTTTTTATCCAACTCCGACATACCGGTAAACAAACCGTGAGTTAATTGTTACAATTTATTTGCACCCTTTAAATTTTTTCACGTAAACTATATTTTGATGAATTTTTGCTATAAGAGAACAAATTCTAGACATTTAAGTAACTTAGTTCATAATGATTGTTTTAGTATTAACACGTTCTGATGGTAATTGGGAGCAGATAACATCATAACATTGGTTTAAATATATAACAAGGCTTGTTTACTTCATAAAACTACTGCAGTTTTCAAAATAAACCTTATTTTATCCTTTTTCAGTTCCTCAATATCGTTGCATATTAATTTCATTTCTTCATTTATTTTAACCATTTTTTCACAATCTGTTCTTTCTTTTTTATCCTGTAATTTTATTTTTAACTATTATTTTGTGTGAAAAACTGATTGATGTGGGATTAATATATGTTAGAGCTGTAACGGGTCTGACTTTTTCAATTGGATTCGGATTTATTTGGATTTACAAAAACAAATCTAGCTGGAGTCGAAGCCGGGTTAGTGCAACTGTTCAAATTTTTTGTTATAATTTGCTAACATGGCTCCGTAAACCTAGCATAAAACCTTGTTGTACCTTATCATATCAGTCACATAAATTATCGGCGTGATGGTTCAATTGTTAAAGGCGCCGGGTCTCACTGTTGTAGTGACTGGAGTCGAATACAAGAGATCCCCGCCTATCATATCATATGCAATGCGTGTTATGCGTGGTTTTCACGTGTATTTGTATGCTCTGCGTGTTTGTCGATGATATCTCTGAAGCAAGCGCGAAAAAGAAAATTAGCTCTAACCTTTTTAACTTTATCTTAAATTTAATAGCATTTAAATTAATATTTATTTACCAATTTATTTGAGAAACAGACACGCATTAAAACATGTGTGCGCAATAAAAACATTTGAACAGACGAGACGGACAACCTCCTCCGACAAAACGAGCAGATATGGCGGTTGAAGGAAGATCTCAATCGAATGATACGGATCTCCAAAATATATCTTAAGTATTGTGGTGCCTCTCCCGCAAGATAATCTCACACAGCTAATTTAAATTTAATCCTATACGGACGTGCATCTAGAACACCCACTTAACGCACATGCTCTTCTTTTTTATATTTATTTTGCATCTCTTATAAAAGAAAAAATTGACAGATAGATAGATGTTAAGATAAATAAATAAATTTTAAAATAATCACATTTTTATGTTTCAAAACAACAATATATGCAAAATTATCTCCAAGCTTTTTAATAGTGTTGAAACTTTATTTATTGTCAAAATAGGCTGTTCACGACAAAATCCAATATTAAGCCATTACCTTAAGCTGACATAAAAGAGCTTCGCGAAGTTCTTTTCTTTTATGATATTTTTTTATGGCTTTATCTTCCTTGGATAATAATTTCAAGTTGATACTTCCCAAAAAATTTTCTTGGTTTCGTTTTTCCATCAATTCAATTTTTTTTGACTTTTTCTCTTCAATTTGAGCTTTTTGAATAGTGGCTGTGTAGGCGTTGTTTTTACAAACTTTCAGTTCAGGAAGTGTTTGGCTACAAATAATTAAAATTCAAAAACATGTAGTGTAATAATAAGTAAACTTATAAAATTAGACAATAGTTTTGCCAAAAATATTAAAAAACAAAAATCTATAGGTTTTGAATTGCAGTAAAATGCAAAAAAATTAGTTGAAAGTTAAAAATTTGAAACACGAAGTCTAAAAATAGCTCGATATAAGCTTGAGACACTAAGGTGCTGTTATTATTAATTCTTTCAATTATTTAATTATATTAGCCTACATTAATAATTTATTTTAAATATTCAAGTGTAAACCAGTGTTATGTAATTGAACCTTATGAGATTATGAATGGTAGAGTTAAAATACTTAGATATGAAAATACATCATATTTATTTTTTCTTTGATTTTATCGTCTAACATTATTTTTTATTATTCTTTAAAAATCAGGATCTGACAAACGCAGAAACTGTTACAGTATGCAAGGCAGTAATATAAAATTAAACGAATAAATAAAAAAACGGAGAAAGAAAAATGTTTGAACATGAAAAGTAAAATAAAATAGAATAAAATAAATAATAAATAATAATAATAAAGGAAATAAAAGAAAATAAAATAAATTGACAATAAAATGAAGTAATAGCATAAAAAGGCAAATTAATAGACTAGATGATGTGAGGTGATCGATAAATAAAAACTAGTTGTCTGAATGAAGCGGATTAGTTTTTTGATGAGAGATTGTAGTTGCTAAAGTTGTTGTTGTGTAGCAAAACCAGACCAGGAGGGAGCTGCATATTTGATGCGTGAGATTATGAATGATTCAGTGATGTCGAATAATTTGATGCCTCTGAGACCATGTGAGCGGATAGTTTTGAGTGCATAAAATGTTGGAAAGCCTTTTGTGATGATGTTATTGATATGAGGTGCTATATTAAGTGTGGAGGTGAATGTGATGCCTAATATTTTTAATTGACTTGTGCGAGTGATTGAGAGTGTTCTGGAAGTAATGCTATTTTTTTACGGCTATTGTGAATGATGAGTTCGAACGATTTATTGAGACCTTACAATGTGACCTGGCAATTTGCAGTAATGACATATCAGCCGCTTTGATTTGCTGACAAATTTATCTTGTTTCTGATTTTTAATGTTTTGAGATGACTTTTCACTTGTTGCTTTGACAAATAATACTTTATTACTTTCAGTTTTGCCTTCCAAAGATTTTTCATAGCTACACAATTGATCTGTGAGTGTTTCAACTGTTCTTTCAGTCTTGTTTAACAATCTTGCAGCAAATGAGAAATATTTTTCTGGCAAAGTTTCAATTATTTGTCACTGTTTTCATCCTTTCCTAACTCGACCTTTAAATCTTTCCAAAGATTCTTGAGCTTTGTAACATGAGAGATAACATCACTTTCATCCATTTTATAACCAAAAAACTTCATGCATAAATTGTATGTTTCATCTTCGTTAACTTCATCATACAATCTATGAAGTTCTAGCCAAACATCTCTGGCATTACTAAATGAACGAATTTTTTCACACGTTTCATCGGTCAATTGGTTGACAGAATTATCATAACATTACAATCTGCTTTATTGAATTTGTTCAAAGCAGTTTGATATTTTGCTATCTCATCTTTGAGTCATTATTTAATTCATCTGGATCTTTTCATTTGCCATTTATTACGTCCATTGCATCAAGAATGCCGCGTAGTATTATACAAAGACAAACAAATGATTTCTAGTTCAACCAATTACATTTGCCTTCTAGGTGTTTGATTTGCACTTTTGTTAGATCCATTTCTTCCTTGTCTTTCAATTTGACCTTTTTAATTAGAAGCGAAATATCGACTTTGAGAGAATGAGAAAGCACGTGTTTTCTCTTCACTTCAGTCTTCTAAGAAAATCTTCCGATATTTCTTTATTCTAAATTTTCTTCGTCAAATCCATTAATTGTTAAAAAAAACGTTATCTGGGCTCATAACATGTTACATTTCTTGTCACGTAGAGCTTTTAATTAATTGATATTAATATAATATTGAAAGACATTAAAAAAAAGAAAAATAAACTTAGAAACGTTTTTGACTCGTTTATTACCTACCGGAACAACAAAAAGGAAAAGTGAAGTTACATGCAAAGCAAAGAACATTTAGCCAAAATGTATATCATAATGTTTTAAAATAAAACTGAACAGAAACAACGTGAATTTGAGATGAGATGGATGACTTCAAATAGATGGCAACGCCTTCTCCAACCCGCCTGCCAGGGCGGTCTTTTCTGAAGGGTGTTTAGCCATCTATTGCGATCAAACCATCAGAATGATCTGGCCTAAGCCATGACTCGGTGATGATGATAATGTCAGGGTGTAGAGGATACACGTCACACCTCAAATGCTCAATAGCATGTGGCTTGAAAATGCTAGTGACATTCAAAATGTAGATGGTGGGTAGATGATGACATGGGGTGATTTTGACTGGGTTGTAAGTCATATACTTCAAATAGATGACAACGCCTCCTCCACGCCGCCTGCCAGGGCGGTCTTTTCTGAAGGGTGTGTAGCCATCTATTGCGATCAAGTGAGTTTGATGTTGATGAGGTTGGGATGATTAGACGAGGAGCGTCGACTGAGGTGGTTGTTTCTTTAATAGGTTGATGAATTACTACTGGTATTGCTGACAAAAAATTAGGGCAAAGCTTTACATTAGTAACTCAATGTAAACAAAATTCGAGATAATAAGTGGAAGTGAGAGTAGGTTAAAGCGTAAATATGTCTAAAAGTTAATTGATATTAAGACTATTAGTTATTAGAGTTATAAAATTATTTATGATTTAAAGTGAGATACTGAAAATAATTTTTAAATAAAGTAAAATAAAACATCTTTTTAACAGTCATCAATTATTTAATAACTTTGTAGCGTTAAAATCGTAATTTTGATATGCTTTTAGAGAAAGTTTTTACGTTGTAGGCACTAAAGTAGACTCACGTGCTTGCATGGTTACGTGCAGTTGGCATTAAAATAAACTTCCATGCATTTATTTGCACGATTTTTAACATATAAAACTTAACATGAGGCATTAAAATAAACTTTTAAGCATATATTTGCACGAATTTAAACTTATAAAACTTAACATGTAGGCATTAAAATAAACTTCCATGCCTTTATTTGCACGTACTTTAACATGTATATTAGTACTGTTAATTATTATTAGATTTATAAAAATATTGATGATTTGAAATGAAATAATGAAAATATGTTTTAAAAATATAAAATTAAAACATATTTGTAACTGTCTCAATTATTTAATAACTATGTAGGTTTAAAATCGCAATTTCGGCATGCTTTTAAAGAGAAGTTTATATACATTGTAGGCATTAAAGTAAATGCATATTGTTGCATGCTTTCATACGGTAGGCATTAAAATAAACTTCCATGCAGTTATTTGAAAGTGTTTTAGCATGTAAATTAACTAGTAGGTATTGAAATGAAGTTTCGTGCATTTTTTGCAAGCATTTAAAAACACAATTCACCACGTAGGGATTAATGTATACTTCCATGCATCGTGATGCGTAGGCACTAAAATTAACTGACAATATTTGAATAAAAGCGTTTAGGTAGTAATTTCTTATTTTATTATATGCTTCCCCGATGTTTAAAATTATATTTTTTCGAGCCATGCTTAGCAAGTAGACTTCGTTCAGAAGAGTGGCCCTGAAAAGAGTCGTTTAGTTGTCAGAGGGGTGGCCCTGAAAAGGGCCGTTTAGTTGTCATCATCATCACCGCCATTAGCATCATCTTTATCAACAGATGTTTATTTTTTCTTTGATGTGGACAATAATATTTCCAAACGGCATCTGGCCATAACGTTCACGCCAAACCAATTTTGCCAAGTGAGTGGGCCTGAGGTTTTTCGAGGTACCATACATGTATTTCATCTTTCTTTTCAATCTAGCCCACAATGATTCCACATTTTGCGTGTGAGCCAATGGATTTCTCTGATTAACAAAATTTTGGAAATGATTGACAGTCCAATGGATGTAGCCCATATTCCTAAGCTGGCTGTAGGCGCGCCATTCATCGGAAACTATGGTTGTTCCTGGTGCAATCCATTTTGCTATTAATGGTATAGCGTTTGTGCATCCCGAGCCTGAACCTCCTCCATAAAGCAATGTCTGGTACCTCGTTCGATTTCGCCGAAAATCCAACTTTCTCCCGAATTGACGTTTTTCCCTTTTTGAAATTTAGCCTTAACAATTTTTGACTCGTCAATTTCAACAATTGTTCCTTGGCCACCTATAGGTACAACTTGATTCACGCATTTGTAGATACAAATGTCACGGCAAAAGTTGTACCAATTAATTACATTTTTGTGCTCAGCTGCAACTCGCGATATGCTGTTTTTACCGGCGTGCTCCAAGCCAAATAATAAATTAAACGAACCAGCAAGCTAAATTGAACGTGACTTTTTTCAAAGAAGGAATCTTTCTGTATTGTGGTTCTTTTATGACAGCCATGAAAAGGACAGCGCCAAATTACGCCATCGAGGCCCGGTTGATACGCAATTTCAGTCATAACACTGCTGCAATTGTCACAAATCATTTCGTGATACAACAACCCGTTCAGTCTGAGCCATTGTCTTGTCTCCCGTTCGTCCTTCATGACCAGATCGGCGACCGTCAACGCATTAACCCTGTCTACCTGATTCATGAT